TCTTATATTCTTATGACCTTATGTGGCAGCACTGGAGTCGAGCAGGTGGGGCCTGGCTGCTCTGTGTGCCGCAGCCAGCTCCCAGGGACATGCGGCCAGAACCGAGCTGCTGTGGCCCTTTAGAATCAGCAGGGCCAGGTCATGCCAGCGTCCTGGCATCCCGCCCTGCCTCCTCATGCCGGAGCTGTCCGCAGGCAGCCCGGTGGCAAGAATCACCGCACTTCCTCCTTCCCAGTGGCGTTCTGCTCTTCCGCCAGTCTGCTGATCGGATGGGGCCACGCTGCCTGTAGTGTGGGCTTTGGCCAGCTCGTCACAATGGCCCACCAGGCCAGTCCGTCCCTGCACTCACCAGCTGGTAAAATCTACTTGCTGCGGGCGAGTGTATTTGTTGAGCCCTGAATATACCTAACAAAGTCATGAGCTTCTGATGGGCCAGATACAGCTATGAAGTACAAAAATGAAAAACTGGGAAGGAGGAGTTCATGCTGTTTTTAGGTCCCAAGTGCATTCAACATAGAAATTCAATTTATATGAGCAGTTTGACAGCTGGAGTAACCAAGATCAAAGGTTACAATTTGGGGATGATCTTGAGTCTGGTAGAATCAAGCTGAAGTATGAAATACTGACTTGTTTTATTTCTTTTCCATGTCTAGTGTGCGACCTGCTTAGGAGTTTGCTGTTTCATAGTCACTGATGATATTACTGTAAGGATAAACACTTAATACTTTTTATGAAGCTTCACAGAAATTTAGGTAGCTGAATTTAGTCACTAACACTGCTTTTTTTTAAAAAAAAACAGGAACTGTATTCAACTATGGAGTGTTTGGAAAATATCTTCACTAAATCCTATCCAAGGGAGAGAGAAACTAATGGCATCTCTAGCACCCACAATACAGTGCTTCACATCAGAGCACTTTTAGCATGGACTCTGTTGTTGACCATCTGCCCAATGAGTGAAGTGAAGAAAAAACTTGAAATGTATGTTCATTTCCCAGAAGGCAACTTTTACAGTTATTTGCTATTTTACCTTAACATTGCTCTATTATAAAAATCATTCTTCAATGATTAATAAAATGTAGCTAATTTTTCTAGGCATTTACCTAAACTTCCAAACTTGTTATCTTGTGATGATGTCAACATGAGAATTGCTGTTGGAGAAACACTAGCTCTTCTGTTTGAGCTAGCACGAGAAACAGACACTGTAAGTATGATTGATTAGCAGTAGTAGGTTTCTTGCATTGAGATTGTTACACACTGCAATGTTTAGTCTGCGATTCTTTCACATAGACTCCCTAATTCCAAACAGCCACCTTTTACAATCAAGTTGCATCCCTCTGCACGTTTATTGGAAAGTTGCATAGCAAGAGTAATGAAGAAAAATCTATCTAAACAGTGAAATGAAATTTAGGTAGACACTTGAATAGTCGAGTGACCTCATGAATTCTTATCAGTTACTTGACTATTCCATAGTCCCCAGGGATGGGGCTGGCAGCTAGTGCAATTTGGCCCAATTCCCAAGTAGCATCTTGTCAGTCTACACTGCTGCCTCTGATACATGATACAGGGGTGTCGGCAGCCCCTGTTTGAAGAGTGTGTGTTTGAGCTCCTGGGCCTGGTGTGAATCAGGTCTGAGCCAGGGCTGCCTGCTCACCTACCTCCTAATAACACTTAATATTCAGAGGTGTAGTTGGGGTAGGTCCCAGACCTGTCAAGCCAGGACTGAGACAGGCTGCTGGCCAGCCTGCTAAAAAATTTACTGGTGGGGAGGGCAGGTGTGTGTGTGTGTGTGGGATTAACCTATATGCTTTTGCTTATTGGTTAATCAACTACATTATTACATCCCTACACCTTATAACTACCCCAATAAAAACGGCTTACTTGTTAGCTCTCCCATTATTGTCTTCTTAACTCCCAAGACTGCTGGAAGGCTAGCATCTAAAAATCTGATACCAACCTCTAAGTAACTATTTTTTTAAAAAAGGAACTACAAAGAAAAAAAAGTAGATTAGCATCACATACCTCAATAAATAATGTTAAAGGGGTGTCCGGCGCAAACTTTGCCCTTTTCAGGTTCCCTAAATCTGTCAGCTGAGTTCTAGAAAGCTTTGTTTGCTATTGCAATGTACTCTTGTATTATATTTAGTAGTATTTTTCTATTTTTTATTTAAAGTCTCAAAGGGGGTATCTAATGACAAGATTAATAAAAACCAAGTATTAAATGACACTTGCCTGACTCTTGTTTTTAAACGTATTGTTACAAGTGCCAGGAATTTTTTTGTGGCTAGTTGCAACTTTTGAGGAAGGAATTAATTACATGTTTATTTTGTGCTTCTGAGTTTCATTGGTGTATTTTCCCTGTCACTCACCTTTGCACCAATGCTTAGCTATACTAAGTAATTTGTAATTTGTTTTTAATATTGCCTTACAGTAGAGACTTAATGTTTTGTTGTCATTCAGTAATGTGCCTTATTAACTTCTTAACTGTTTTCTTGACAGCACTGAAGAGAATAGTCTCCAATTACCCATGGGCACAGCTTGGGAGGGCTGCCAGAGGGCTCCTGGCAAAGCACGTCAGCCTTGATCGAGCTAGAACTGTCTGAGGGGGAAAGGGTAAATGTAAATGAGGCAGGGTATCAAGCATGGTAACGTCCCATAGTAAAATTCTGATAATTTTTGTGATGCCTCTAAATATGAAAGGGAATTGGCTGCAACATCCTAGCCATGAAAACTTACTTTGAAAGGCCTTATAGTGAAGATGTTAGGCTTGGCAAGATGCAAGTGAAAGCAATTTTTATTTGAATGTAATAGATTTTGATTAAATATCTGCATTCTGTAAGATCTTAAACATTTCCTTTAAGAATAGCACTTCAGTTTCAGAGGGGTAGAAGTGTTAGTCTGTAATTGAAAAAATTTAAAACAATGAATAGTACTGCAGCATCTTTAACAAAAAATGTAGATGGTGATATGAGCTTTCATGGAGAAGTGGGTTGTGCCTCTAAGATTCTGCAGGACTATTTAAGTTACTTCAGTTCATATGGAAATTACCAAATTCAGTGGCTTGTATAACTGGCAGAATTCCACAAGGATTATCCCAGTGGCCTTGCAACACATCTGATGCTAATCTTATATAGACAGTTCTTTCATACTAGATTTTACTATATTCTTAGCCTTTATATAGCATTCAAACTACATGCAATATTCAATATTAAATTTATCAACTAAATATCAAGATTGGGTGATAATGCTGAGTATATTTGTGTGACAGGGCAGACTGGGAGGATAAGAGATAAAATGAGAAGGAAAACGGAATGACAAGAACAAATAGACAATTGGCAGCTATTAAATATAGTAGTGCCTAGGAGCCTCTGATAAAGTGCAGGGTTCTCTTGTGCTAGAAAATTTCAAGAAATAAGATGGACCATGCCACAAATACCATGCAATCAACATAAAATACTCTCATTGGAAAGAGTACTGCAAACAATGTAAAACTGGTAAAAAGACAATGCACTTTTTTTGGCTAGGAGTTAATCTGGTCTCCATACTCTGTTTAGATTTATTCTTTATAAGGGCAACTTCAGCTCCCTTTCCAAAACTTTAATTCACAGAAATAAATGGCTTTAACCATCTTACTTAACATCCTTAATACTAACAGTTGACTATCAGGTAATTGACTAATTGAATAGTTAATGCATCGATAGGACGCCTCCACCTTTGAAGTGTAGCAACAGCCCTACGGCTATTGCTGCACTTCAAAGATGAAAGCAGCTCGTAGAGTCCAGGATCAGTTGGGGACTCCCCCACTGTCCCCGGGTTCTGTGCAGCACAGCTGCTTTGAAACACCACAAAGAGCCTGGCACCAGCTGAGCCCAGGCTCTATGTGGCGCTGCCACTTTGAAACGCTGTGTTGAGCCTGGGATCTGGCCCCAGGCTTCAAGCAGCGCTGCCACTTTGAAGTACCACATCTTCTTCCCCCTCCCTTGCTTTCCTCTATTTGATAGAGGCAGCAAGGGGGGGAAGCGACTTGTCCTTCACATCCCTTGCTAGTGTGTCTCTGATGCACCCCAAAACATAAATATCTCATGCCGATAATCAACTCCTTGATTCCCAAGTGCCAGAGAACAGAATGATACAGCATGTCTAAAGGGTTAACAAATATAGGCTCTTGCAGGCTAAATGGCGAGGGGGGTGTTTCTATCCAGGGACCTCACAAGATCTTGTTGGGAGACAATTTTCTATTGAGGGAGCTCCACTTTAAATACTACACCTGATGACTGCCAGTAAGTGCGCACAGGTTATATTTGGGTAACCTGGACTCTGATTACTTAATTTTTCCAATACAGTTAATACATTTATTTTTTCTTTACGAACTCCTCATCTAGTCAAAATGACAGACAGTATCATTGGGAAAAGTTGATGTAAGACCAGAAGCTGAAATCTCTCATATTGTCTGGTTAGGATTTCTTTTATGAAGACATGGAACTCTTAACACAGAAACTAAGAGCCCTCGCTACAGATGGAAACAAGCACCGTGCCAAAGTAGACAAAAGAAAGCAGCGATCTGTCTTCAGAGATGTCTTGCGAGCTGTAGAGGTATTCTTCAGTTATTTTGAAATCCTTGATCTGAATTAAAAAGTGGCAAATAATTTATAAAGCAGTTGTATTAATGCTTGTGATATTGCTTTTTCACTGGAAAAACTTTTAAAATTGTAGGTGAATTTGGAGCATAAACACAAAGTAACTTCAATTTTCATTATACAGTAAAAGCTTTTTAACCAGCATTCTAGGGAAATTGTGGTGCTGATCAATTAAAAAGCTAATTAAGGAGAAGTTTGGAATGTGGGGCAGTCGGCTACATGGGAGGGGCTGTGGGACACAGGCTCAGTGAGATACTTTGGGTCCAGAAGGGGATTTGATGGGAGTGTTTAGAGGGTTGAAAGGAACATAAGAACGGCTGTACTGGGTCAGACCAAAGGTCCTTCTAGCCCATATCCTGTCTGCTGACAGTGGCCAGCACCAGGTGTCCCAGAGAGAGTGGACAGAAGACAATGATCAAGCGATTAGTCTCCTGCCATCTCTCTCCAGCCTCTGACAAACAGAGGCCAAGGACACCATTTTATTCCCTGGCTAATAGCCTTTTGTGGACCTAACCTCCATGAAATTATCTAGCTTCTCTTTAAACTCTATTATAGTCCTAGCCTTCACAGCCTCCTCTGGCAAGGAGTTCCACAGGTTGATTACACGCTGTGTGAAGAAGAACTTTCTTTTATTAGTTTTAAACCTGCTACCCATTAATTTCATTTGGTGTCCTCTAGTTCTTCTATTTAGGGAACTAATAAATAACTTTTCTTTATCGGCCCTCTCCACACCACTCATGATTTTATAGACCTCTATCATATTCCCCCTCAGTCTCCTCTTTTCTAAACTGAAAAGTCCCAGTCGCTTTAACCTCTCCTCATATGGGACCCGTTCCAAACCCCTAATCATTTTAGTTGCCCTTTTCTGAACCCTTTCCAAGGCCAAAATATCTTTTTTGAGGTGAGGAGACCACATTTGTACACAGTATTCAAGATGTGGGCGTACCATAGTTTTATACAGGGGCAGTAAAACTAGGGAACTCTGTGCTGACTTGGGGGGTGGAATGCTCTCCTCCAGCAGCTTCCCTTCCTGCTCTTGCTGATGGAACCCTCTCCTGAAGTTCCAAGCCGGCACACTGCCTCCATTTGCAAGTGCTGCCCCCTGCAGCTCCCATTAGCTTTGGTTCCCTGTATTCAGTGTAATGAGTTTGCTGCTGAGATTTGTCTTCTAGCTCCAAATTCTGATTTACTGAATTGTTCTAAAATGTATCAGTTAATTAACAGAATCCTTGCCATACAATATATGCAAGGATCAGCTTGCATTATTTAGCTATTGCATAGATTCAGTTTAACTGCTCTATTCAGTGCCCTCAGAATTTGTCCCTTGCAGCATATCTCAATTATGCATTGTTGTAGAGAGCCTTATATCATACCATTGTTGGAAGCTACTGTTCAGAGCTTTCAGGACCTGAGCAAAGGATTCACAAGTTAGTAAGGCACATCAGTGATTTAATGTAACAAATCATTAGCTTACATTTAGTAAGAAAAGGATATATTGATAAGGCAGATGACATTTGAATCTTTAACGGGGCAAAATCAGGCCAATGCCAACTGAATAAAAAATGTACTTTCAAACAGTCCAAAGTTTTTTAGTAGTGAACATAGCTGTAAGAAATTGGTATTTAGGGGGGATGCTTACACTGTCAGGAGTAACTGCCAGTTAAATGCAGAAGAAAATGATTTGGTAATAGCTTCAATTGACATTGGCACTCATTGCTAAGCGGTATACACATTAGTATGGTTTGCTTCAAAACTCAGCATCTTAAAAGGGGTTTAATAAAATTTCCTTTTTAATTAAGTATTAGGAATTTCCATGGGTATTTAAAGATCCACTGAGACTTGACTAATTTATAGATGCAAACCAAGTGCATTGAACCATTTTAGACAAACCCCATACCCCATGTGAAAATTCTTTTGCTCTTCTGTTATGTATTCGTACATATAGCAGTGTGACTGTTAAGTGCTTTCTAATGTTACCTATGGCAACATAAATATTAAGTTTCAGTCCTGCTATCACCCTGTGTCTATTAAAAGCAGCAATTGTACTATACAGTGTAGTAGGCTACAAAACATGCATACTGGTTACTTCACAGGATAAATCATTCTTGTCCTTACTTTGTGCAGGATTTCACTCAGTGAAACGAAAACTACCCTAGTTATGCATAAGCTTTCTATATAACTTTTGCCTGCTTAGGACTTTTCTAAATCAGGGGATGTGGTAATGTAGCTTGCTTTCCTGTTTTGCCTTTGCCTTTGATTTTTTTTTTTTTGACAGGAGCGAGACTTCCCTACAGAAACTGTCAAGTTTGGACCTGAGCGTATGTATATTGACTGCTGGGTTAAGAAACAAACATATGACACCTTCAAAGAGATTCTGGGATCAGGGATGCAGTATCATTTGCAGGTGAGCTGTTTCCACAAATTTCCTTTCTGGCCCCTCGAAATTATTTATGAAATTATCCTAACTGTTCTCTATTGGAATCTAGCCAATGATTTGTTAATGTTTCCTAACAAATGTCATAGCAGCTATGGTAAACTGGTTGTAAAGTAACTTTACATTTTCATTCAAATTTTGTGAGATGACAACTAAGGGGTATTTTACATTCAGCCTGATTATCCAGTGTGATCTGTTATAAAATGGCTAGCTGACAACTCTGCTTGCAAAAGGGACCTCACATTGGATGTGGCTTACACTAGGCCCCATAGCATAGGACATATAGCAGAGTAGTAGAGTCTTCAATGCTGAGGTCGGCATTGCAAAAATAGGAAGCTGTAACTGCTTCTTTGACAACTCTTTATTTGCATCAGACAGTACTTAGACTTAAGCCTTGACTAATTACAAAAAATGATGGTGGGGGAGAGCATATATTACTTGTTATAGACTCAATATTATGTAGTTTAGACCTCAAATTTAAAGCTACAGCAGTATTCAGAATAAAAGCTTGGTTACTGATGTTTCCATTTTTTCACTCAGTCCAATGAGTTTCTTCGGAATGTGTTTGAACTTGGACCACCAGTAATGCTTGATGCTGCAACTCTTAAGACAATGAAGATATCCCGTTTTGAAAGGGTATGTTATCACACCTTTAACCATATCACCTGCATTTGCCCGCTACTGTTCCCTTTTGGGAATTAAGTAACTTTCAAACCCTTAACAGTTGAACAGCTGTAATTGTATAGTCAATCTGCTACAAATATTTAGTTTAATGAAAAATGGCTGTTCTGGGGTGCTTCATATACATTCTGTCCTGGACCAACTTTTAATCTTCTGACTGAAGAACTAGTATACAGCTCTCATTATACTTTGACTCCTTTCTTTGGGGTACAGCACTTGCTTTTGTCTCTGGAGTGTCCTGAAATATTGCTGAGTGTGACAACTGAAGGCTGTGGAAAAGCATCTTACCTCAGAC